CGAAGCGAATCCCATCCGGACAATCGCTCATGAAATAAGCGCAGCGAGGGAATCATTACGGAAAAGAGATAACAATATTTTTATATGTTCTGATATATGGTACACTGCTTGTATTGAAAAATTATTTCGTTATTATTATGTGTATTGCGACAGCATCTAGTTCCAGCAATGATATTATAAATGGTAGCCATATTGCCACTACAGCTTTTGAGATATGGCAGTGTAATATAAAAAAGGATAAAGAAATGCAAAAAGTAGTTATTATCTAGAAACAAATAGGTATATACCAGGCTTAAATCCGCTGTTTTTTAGTCAGAAAAACACATTTTTTTTTCCTAGGAAAAACAAATTTATTCAAAGTACCTCACTAACTATACATTTTTCCCATCTTTCGAGCAATTTGTGTATACCACGCCAAAAAAATTCCTCATCTTTCGAGGCAAACCACTCATCAAGCCATTTTCGGACGTCTTCGAAAGAATCGAATGCCGCTCAGCGAGCGCGTGGCCCATCGATGAAAACAGGTGATAGTCAGAAGGTGCCAGTTTACTCTGGTGAGTAAACGGGGTAGCACTTCCCAGTTGAGTATCTCCAAGTAGTTTTGGACCATTGTTGACGTGTGCGATAGTGCGTTGTCGTGGAGGAAAATCAGCTTGTCATGTCTTTTCTGATAATGCGACCTTTTTTCACGCAGAGCACGGTGCAATTTGATCAGTTGTTGGTGGTAGCGGTGAGTATTAACAGTTTCACCAGGTTTTAACAGCTTGTAGTACATGACACCCTCCTGATCCCATCAAACGTCTTCCGTCCGAAGCGATATCTTGAGGAAGATGTTAATGATTGGGCGGGATCAATCCAAGATTTCTTGCGTTTAGGATTCTAAAAATAGATCCACTTTTCATTGTCTGTCACAATCCAATGCAGGAACGACTTTCTTTTTTGTTTAGCAAGCAAAATTTGTGTTTTGGCGTCGCTCCATCTGCCTATCGTTCAGTTCATGCGGCACCCATTTTCCGATCTTTTGAACCTTCCCCATGTAGCCGCATGGAAATGGCTGCTTGAGAAACACCCAATTGCTCGGCAAGTATTTTTTGCGATTGGGTATCGTCCTCGTTCAAAAGAGCCTGCAATTGACCTCAACCTTCCTGGGCCGATTTTCACGCTTCTTGTCACTCAGGTCAAAATTGTCGTCATTGAACCGACGAAACCAATCTCTGCACGTTGTTTCCGATAAAGCATTGTCACCATAGGCATCACAAGCCTCCACAAGCATTCGATGCGATTCGGCAACCGATTTCTTCAAATAAAAACAGAAAAGCAAAGCTTCCCGCATATGTTTTTTTTTTTTTAGCAATTAGACATGATTACGAAAGAAAAAATGTATGTTGTTGTATGAAATTGCTGATGATGTGCATTGGTTAATGTCGACAGATGTCAAACACATAAAAAAAAGTGTGTTGTGTGTCCAGGGTAGCTTTGTACGCTCACTAATGCCACCTATGAGCAAACAGTGGATTTAAGTTTATACACCTGGTAAATTCCTCGGAAAAATTATGGATACTGCTTTTGTTCAAAATCTCT